GATTCCTACCCGAATCACCAAAGGGTTAGAACGTCACGTTTGAGCAGCGAAGAGCGAACAGCTGACGCCGCGGCGAAGACGTCACACACACACACACACATATATATATATATATATATATATATATATATATAGGCGGGTTGGAAAGTCTTGTCACACCTATATAATATAATTTTCTATTTCTCTCATACAGTTTTTTTCTCACAATCTACCACTTTACGGAATAGGCTCTTGTGCTATTACTTCCATGAACACTTTAATATTGGCCTCTTCAGGTCAAGGGACAATCTTTATCTATCCTGTATATCCTCATGATCTTCATTACTTACCACTTTGAGAACATAGTTCCGCCCAACACCGCAGATTGCTACGAAATCAAGGCATGAACCCGAAAATTTGAAGCATGTTCTTAACTAGCCTGGTCAGTTCGAGACTTTTACCTTGATGTCGTACATAGCGTCAAACCTGGTCAGAAATATCGAAATGGTCATCTTTATACAATCGCTTCCGGAGATCAATGGTGAAAAATGGCTTTGAGCGAGTAAAGCCTGAGTTTTTGGAAAAGATCATCCTTATTTGAATATTGTAAATTGGCTATACAGAATCGCAAAGAACTGTACCAAATAACAGAAACCACATCACATGAGGACTACCAACAGCAGCAACAACTAAAATGGATAGCACATGTAATTTGAAGAAAAAAATAATGACATGATCAACATGTTACCTTTCGACACCACTGCAAATAAAATGTTAGAAAGGAAACTCACATTTATAAAGGAAATGACGATAACATCTACTTGAGAAACCTGTTTTCCTGGAAAATTGTTTTAAGAGAAAGATTTTATAAATTTCAACCGAAAGCCGTGCTAGCTGCTCGGTCAATGAATGCTAATATTTTTCTTAAAAGGAATCGGCTATTATTACCATTACTATTCTCTTGTATTCATATTACTACTCATACAGTATTACCATTTTTTTTTTTTTTTGAGTGAGATCTTTGACCTTGAGTGATTTTCCATCCTTGGATTAGGTGACTTTTAATATTAAATCCATCTTGCAAAAAAAAAAAAGACGCATTACTTTTCTTTCTTATACCTGTACAAGGAGCTATAAAAATTAGATTGAGTACATGATTGGCAGTTAGGTCTCATTATTTACAGATGAAATTGCTAGATGTAACAACTGCTTTTCATTCAATTTTGATCTCGCAAACTTTAAATGCAATGTCATTTGCCATCTTCTGTTTCCTTAATTCCCGTTATTTTATTGTATTCAATGTTTCTTTCACTTTTAGTAATCCCTTGCATGTTAGTTTATACTTCATCTATCTTGCGCGGACCTTAGTTGTAAGTTCTCAGAGAAAAGGAGAGCACATATTACCTGGCGTGGTCTGTAGTTGTACAATGCCAAAACGATAGAAACCTACGCGTCCCAATGACTTGTAACTTTGTGCAACTACAACCAACGGCGTCTTCCAGACAGTTTCGTCTACCCAATTTCACCCACAAAGGATGGATAGAAGAAGAAGAAGAAGAAGAAGAAGAAGAAGAAGAAGAAGAACAACAACAACAACAACAACAACAACAACAACAACAATAATAATAATTTTAATAAATTCAAAATGACTAAAAAATTGGCTTCCTTTTTATGAATGTAATATATTTCGACACATCCTTTAAATCAGTGATTCTCAAGTTGACTTGAAAATTTTTTAAAATAGGCCTGGAGTTGTTGGCCGAAGTAAAATAGATGGGCTTTGAAATTCTATTTTCTTCTAAATACAAACTGTTTTTTTTTAATGCAAATAATTCAGAAATTATTTAAATAAATTTTCCGATGTTTTTCTTCTTAATTGATTTGAAATATTTTTCTCTTTGTGCTTATGTTGGCCTGAAATGTGCTTATGTTGGCCTGAAATGTGCTTATGTGGGCCTAAAATTTTTTGATACCCAAAATGCTGCACAAGGAAGAAAAGTTTGTGAAACACAGCCTTAAATCGCCTTCCACCCAAATATTTCTTGTCATACACTTTTAATTATCAGTTTTATCATTAACGCTTCATATCCAAAAGGATCTTCCATAAACTTTTGTTTGAGGATGAATCGGTCCTAAGTAGACTGACAGATACGATCTTCGTTACCCACACTGCTATAGGCATCATCAGAAAAAGAAATGAACAATTTCACAGAGTAATTCTTTTTGACGATCTACAAGCCAGTGGGATGTGTATATTGGTCAACACCCACCATCCTAATTTACAGTCAGTGCAGACTGCGGTACCGACAAGATTCTCAGACCAAATGTAAATACACCGAAAGTACAACTAGTCGGCATATGAATGTGGCGTTGGTAAATATATCGTTCGTTGTTTACATAACTTACTTTCAGCACAAGGTCACCCGGTAAGTGTCAAAGGCACTACTAATGAGCTACAAGCTCATTGCACCACGATGAGATGACTAAAATTATTTACTAAGCAAAGTTTACTTTTCACACACGGTCACAAATATGGGACAGTCAGTAGGGATCGATCACAGTACTCATAGCCGTCAGGACAAGCTTACTAAACGGCGAAGTTAGATCGTTAGTCGGCAGCGGGATGACGAGTAGGCATGTCTAGAATGTTTGTCGACTAATGCTGGGTGGTGGAGTTTGTGTCGGTTTAGGTTGAAAGTTACGGATGAAGCTAGAAAACACCCACACACTTGACCAAATAATCACATTCATGAGTACTTAAATGTGTGCATGTATACAGAGGAGAGCGTAGAACTAAAACACTATAAAAAAAAGTTAATTACCGATTTAATATTGCGTTATGTTATCGAACGATGTCATCTTAAAATCGTGTGTTGAATTATTTATTTGATTTGATTTGATTTTCGGATTTTTTTAAAGTAAAATGGAATCCGAATAAATTATAGGGAACGGGATTCATTTAAATATCCCCAAACCATTAATATTTAGAAGATAAACAGTGGATAGCAATAAAAAAAAAGAAGAAAAAGAAAGTATAGCAAGAGATAGAGGGAAGGAAATAGCGAGACAGAAGAAAGGGAGAGCATATCCAGAAAGAAGAACTGGAGAGCAAAGCAAGGAAGTAGAAAGGGGGAGTACAGAGAGAAAAAAGAAAGGGTGAGCATATCAAGAAAGAAGAAAGGGTGAGCATATCAAGAAAGAAGAAAGGGAGAAAATAGCGAGAAAGAAAAAAGGGAGAGCATACCGAGAAAGAAGAAAGGGAGAGCATATCAAGAAAGAAGAAAGGGAGAGTATAGACGGGAAGACGAAAGGGTGAGCATGACGAGAAAGAGGAAAGGGAGAGTATAGGGAGAAAGGAGAAAGGGGGGAGTAGAGCAAGAAAGAAAAAAGTGAGAGCATAGCGAGGAAGAAGAGGAAAGGGATATCATAGCAAGAAAGAAGAAAAGGAGAGTATAGCGGGAAAGATGAAAGGGAGAGTATAGCTAGGAGGAAGAAAGTGTGAGCATGGCGAGAAAGAAAAAAGGGAGAGCATAGCAAGTAACAATCACCTTTCCTCTCTCTCTCTCTCACTCTCTTCTATTTTCTAGCTATCATCTTTCTTTGTTCTTTTTCTTACTATACTCTCTATTTCTTCTTTTCTATCATATCTGTCCACCTATTAGAGGCTAGAAGTTTCTTTCTTGCTATGACCGTCTTTCATTTTTCCTTGTTATTCTCCCTTCTCTTCTTTCTCTCTACCACTCTCTCTCTCTCTCTCTCTTTCCCTCTCTGAATCTCTCACTCTCTCCCTCTCTTTTCGCCTAAATTAATATTACACTGGTCAACTTAAGATAAGAAGATCAAATGCTCACCACCCTGCGCGATAGGCAAGATACCATTTTTAATACTTTAAAGAAAACCATTAATATTTAGAAGAAAGGGGGGATATCAAGAAAAAATTAAAAATAAATCATAGCAAGAGCGAGAGAGAGAGAGAGAGAGAGAGAGAGAAAGAGAGAGAGAGAGCATAGCTAGGTAGAAGGGAGGGGGCATAACAAGAAAGAAAAAAGAAAGATCATAACAAGAATCTGTCTTTACTATCTATCTTCTTTCAATATCTGCTGACCATTCAGATGTTGGATAATTATGGCTTTTCATAGCTTCCTGTTTGGATTGGTTTGGTTTACGGCATATAAACCTCAATGGCTTATTTAATGCCGACAAGATTTTTATTGCTGTTAATTTTTTTTTTTCAAAATGTATTGCCGTTAATATTTTTCCTTCAAAAATTTATTGCTGGTAATAATTTTTTTTACAAAGTTTGGTTTGGTTTGTTTTACGGCATATCAACCACAATTGGTTATTTAATGACCACAATTTTTATTGGTGGTAATATTTTTTTCCAAAAATATATTGCTGGTAATATTTTTTCCTTCAAAAATCTGTTTCTAGCAACATTTTTTTCTTCATAATGTATCGCTGGTAAAAATTTTTCGAAAAATGTATAGCGCGTATTTTTTTTTTTTTTCAAAAATGTTTGCGTTGTTTTGTTTTATGGCATTTCAACGCAACGGGTTATTTAATGCTAACAAGAGTTTTATTGCTGGTAATATTTTTTTTTCTCAAAAATATATTGCTGTTTCTTTTTGTTTTGTTTTTTGTTATTTTTTTTAATGTAAAGCTGATACTTTTTTCAAAAGTATATTGCTGGTAATAATTTTTCTTCAAAAACTTATTGCTGGTAATAATTTTTACAAAGTATTTCTGGTATTAAAACCTATTTTTACACTTTCATAGCGATTTAACCCCAGTTTGGAGGTTAACTATTTACCCATAGCTGGGACCCTAACAGGTTCTACCGTGTCAGGGTGGACCTGGGAACACCAGCAATTAAGAGGTGGTTCCAGGCTCATCAAAACCTCCTGATCAGAGGTCTTGCTGTTGTGCGTAGATTATCGTCTTACCCAGGACGGTCCATATCTCCCTGTCTTTCTTTGCTCTAAGTAACTCTTGTCTCTTCACTACTCATCTTTTTCCTTAGCTTACGGCCAAATCACGGTGAGACACCGGTTCTCGTACAATCACCAAAGTTAAGCAACGTCGAGTCTGGTTTGTTCCTAGGTGAGTGACAATTTGGGAATACTAGGTACTGCAAGTTTGGATGTGCGAGCGGTGTAATGGATAATGACTCGGAATTTGAAATCAGAGAGCCGAGTTCCAATTCCATTTGGGTACGTTATATTCATTTATGTGCAAATACCATTGGGAGCAGTATGAACCACCTCTTCCCCCCAGTTATGGGTTAATTTATTAATTTATCAATAAATCCCTATTAGAAAAGAAAAATTCTTAAAATCTAAAAAAAATATTTTCTGGCTTTGAATAACCTGCAAAGAATCAATCAATCTTTTTTCTTATTCTGACATCCATTTACAAAAAAAAAAAACTTATTTAGTAGAATATTCGCTATTTCCTCCTTATGAGTTTTAAATTATCCGGACCTTCCTTTCTTATTATATGTTTCAGAATTTTCAGCCATCTCTTTCTGATTGTTAACAACTATTGAAGCATTGTTTCATTTTGATCTACTTTTTTCGGCTTATTGTTGCTTCTACTTTACTTCTTCTTCTATGTGCCGTCTTCCTTCAGGACAGTGGCTATCATGGCTCTCCACAACTTCCTGCCCTTCGTAGTTTTAATTAATTTTGTCTTTTTGACATATCTCTGTTCATCTCGAGGTCCTCGACAAAATCCAGAGACGAATATTTTTATGGTCCAGGTTAACACCAAGGGAAGAACAACAAACAAAGAGTAGAAATAAACACGAAATAATAATACGAATAACGAAGGTGTTAGTATGACTGAAATAACTCGATTCGGTATCTACGAGATGTAGAAAGGTGTTTAACGTGGGTTTATGACTGTCAAAATCTGGTTTAAACGGGATCGGGTTGGAGTGAACTACTCTGCCCTTCGGCGGAACCTCGGCTCGACTTCGACCGTTGAGCTTCTCGGTATATCTAGCCACCCCCACCCCCACGAGGGTTGCATTTGGCACAGGGCCGAGTTTAACGTGGGTTTCCCGAGCCCGTGGGCTCGGCCAAAAAATGCCCGTAGAACCCGTATAAACGGGATCGGGTTGGTCAACCTCCCCGAACGAGACTCTGCCCTTCGGCGGAACCTCGTCCGGGTTCCTCTCTGCTCAGAGGCGGAGAGTTCGACCGTCAAGCCGAGAAGCTCGGCTTGATTCGTCCCTCTCTCTTGAGAGGCGTAGTATACATAGTGTTAGGAAGAGTTCATTCTGTAGTTATAGGTAAGGACCCATGACAAATATGCAATCTGATAGGTCCTGATCTGGCATCTCGTCTACAGTTTCTTTCTCACAGACGTGATGCGGCTTCCCTCTGTCTTTTCTACAAATATTTTCCTGGCAGTTGCTCTGACGAGCTACTTTCACTGGTACACCAACTGTATGAATTTAAGCGTGCTACTAGGTTGGCATCTCAGTCCCACACTTTCACTGTCGAAACAGTTAAATGTAACTGCCTCTTCTCCTTCAACAGCTTCTTCTCTCTCACTTCCCGACAGTGGAACTCCCTTCCTACTACTTGCTATCCTGATAGCTATAATCTTCAAATATTTAAATGTAAACGGTATCTTCTGATGCCTTGTTCCTGATACCCGTCCTTCTCTATATCCTTTCCTCGAACATTCCTCTTTACTCTTGCTCTGACTCTCTGTAACCCTTTGCTAGGGGTGAAATGCTTAAAAAAAACTCTGTTCCACCATCCATTTACATTAGGTAGGTTATGTGTTCTTTTCCTTTGTCCCTCTTACCTTCAATTTATCCAGTAATTATTAAATTTTCCAAGCTCTCTTTCCTCATTATAGGCCATAGAAATTTCAGTTGTCTCTTTCTGATGTTACGTATAGTTGTCCTTTTTGTTTCCATTTGCTCTAAAACTTCGTCGTTGCTAACATAATATGTCCATGGTATTCTCAGTTTACTTCTGTAGAACCACTTTTCTGTTGTTTTAAGTGTCTTCGTCTGTGGAAAACTTGTCCAACATTGCCTGCTATATAGAAGGATTGATATTACATAATAGTTCAGTACTTCTTTCTTTGTTTTTAACAAAATTTCCCCGTTTTTTAATCATTGCTTAGCTTCTGGAAGGCCTCTTTCGCTATTCAAATGTATCTTCAGATTCCAGTGTTGCACTTTCCGTTTTCTCTTAAAACACATAAATTGTTGTACTTGTTTGATTTTTGGTATCTCCAATTTATAATTTGCATATTAGTCCGTTTCCTTTGCTAACGACAATGTATCCAGTCTTTTTGCAATTGATGTTTAGTCCTCTCTTTTCGCTTACTTTTTACTACCTTCTGTAAAAGTTTCCTTTCTGTACCTGCTAAGGCGTTTAGCAATCAAATTTATTTTAATTAACGATCTTTTATTGGCTGAACTGTTTTCCCTTGTTTTAATAGAAATAATCATGATGAGGAAACTGGGAAATTAAAATCAATAGAGAAATAAAACTCAGTTCTTTTGTTCGTCATCGAGACAATAACTGGGCGTTCAGCTCAGAACGAACTCACTATACAGGAAAATTGCTTGCGGACAATAACTATACAGTTCTTTCTATTCTTTTGATTTCTTCAGTAAAAGAAACACAGGAAGCTATGTTCCGGATCTGCACAGGAAAACAACCTTTTAAAACTGCTGCCGATTCTCGTATGTTCTACGTAACTGAAGAAACTAAATACCGAATATCCCGCCCGCGGCGACAATATGAAATATTACGGAGCGACATGTAGCGTGTGCTATAATTCAAAATATATTGCAGTTACGAATATCTTTAAAGGCCAGGTCACAAAAATCACTGATAGCTGAATGTATTATATAACTAATCAGGTAATTGGCAACACGTGCTGAAACAAATGTATAAAAAATTAGTGCAAAGAACTGAGAATTCAAAATCGGGTGACAATGCATGCCAACTCCCTGAGTGATAATTAACTCATTCGATGAGCACTTTGTAAAATAGAGCCAATTTCAGTTTATGTATCGTAATATAAATCAATCTATGCCAAATGCATGGATTTGTAACACGTTGCATGATTTTATCAGGATTTACGAAGCTTATGGCAATTCAAACACAATAGAGAAAGCTGATTTTTATTGTCACCTACGACATGGTATTAAAAGAACCAGATAAGTAGCGTTGGGACTTCAGTCCGATTCTCACCACCATTGAGCCGTTTTCCCATATATGGCGTGGATATTCGTGATGACAGCAGACGTGACTCATGTCGTTAATTCTTTACAAGCAGAAATTCTGAATCGTATCACTCCTTAATTTTCCATACTGATCGAAAGGATTTTTACGAGGTCAGATAATCCTGATGTTATCACCCTCTCCTTTTACTAGTGGCACTACGAATAACGGGAGATGCGGATAATGCCACGATCTCTAAGGAAAAATTAAAAAAAAAACTATAAATGACTGGTTGTAGAAGTGCCTACTTTATTCCGGACCACATTCCAAGGATTTTAATAGTACAAATTTTAACATCAAACCCCCTAATGGGTGAATAACATATCCGCCTCTGGAAGGAAAAGTTAAATGTTTACTTTTATTTGTTACTGCTAATACCGTATATCTTGATATAAAGTAATCTAATTATAAAGACAGCTTGCCTTAAAAGCGTTATCTTCCATAAATACACTGATCGCTTGACTCTTTGTTACACTCCTTATATATCTATACGTGTGTGTGTGTGTGTGTGTGTGTGTGTGCAGGGTGATACATAAGTAGGTATTGTGTAATGAAAAACGAAATGTGCGCACAAAACGTATTGATTACTTACTGCATACCTTCTTTATATATATATATATATATATATATATTCAATCGGTATCACCCTAAACAAGGCAGTACAGCCACTAGCACACAGGAGGAGGTTACATGGTGTTGAGGAATTAGGAACAGAAATATTAGTAACGAGGAGAAAGATAAAAGAGCAATCAGGAGGACAGTAGATGGCAATTGACATTGCATTTAAATTGTTGCATATTAATGTTGGTTGGAGACCATGAAGCCGGGAAGGAGTTTCACAAGCGAGAAGTGCGAGAAAAGAAACCGTTAGCATAGGAGTCACAGCTACATCTATATAGCTCAACTGTATATTGATGAGATCTCGCCGACAGTCTGGCACTGAGCATAAATTCAAAAACTCTAGGTAACATAGCGAAGAGCTCATCCGAACAATTACCATGAAAGTATTTATAGAAATGACACAGAGAAGCAACCTTACGTCAGTGGGAAAGTAACCGAAGCCGAGATTCCAGATCAAGACCAATAATATTGCTGATTCTTCTTTGGATCGTATCAAGGAGAGCCAGGAAACTAGCAGGGACATCGAACCATATATGGCAGCAACATTCTAAGCCTGGGAGACTGGAAGACTTGTAGATATGTAATATTGATTCCGGAAAGAAAATCTGTTTCGTCCGGCACAGTGTTTCTTCACAGCTGACCTAGCAATGGAATCAATATAGCCTTCTCTTTTCACTTCAGCTGAGAAAGTTAGCCAAAGAAGGCGCAACGAATCACTTCCTTGGAGGATAGCATCAGCCATGCTGATCAAAGGCAGAGAGTGGTCTCTCAGATGATTAATGGAGATAAATTTAGTTTTGGAGACGTTAAAATTGACAAGCCATCAGTTAACGACGATCTTGAGGTCGTGAGCTGCCATTTTGACTTTGTCTGACTGATCAGCTTTACTATGGAGGCAGGAGTAAATGTTAGTGTCATCAGCGTAGATACCAAGTTGTGAGCTGATGTCATTGGGAAGGTAGTTAATGAAGATTAAAAACGGCGTAGGACCAAGGATGGAGCCCTGGGGGACACATGCGTTAGTACGAAATGTTGTAGACGAGTGACCGGTCAGGACAACTTTCACTACACGATTTGATAGGAACGACTGGATCAACTCAAAAACGTGCCCTGAGATACCGTTTCAGCTGAATGCCAGGGCCTGTCAAAGGCTTTCGAGATGTTCAAAGTCACAACCCGGGCTTCACCGTTTTTATCTAGAGCATGATAGAATCTTTCCGCAATTATCGTAAGTATATCAGCAGTTGATCTGGAGAGAC